TCCTTTAATCCCAGCATTTGGAAGGGAGATGCAGAGGTAGGGGAATTTCTGAATTTGAGGCCAGCCTGGTCTGCAGAGCAAGTTCCAGAACAGCCCTGGCTACACAGTGAGATCATGTCTCAATAAATAAATAATTTTAAAAAGAGTAGCTGCAGAGATGGCTCAGGGATTAGGAGCACTACCTGTTCTTCCGGAGGACCAAGGGTCAATTTCCAGGACTCATATGATAGTGTTAGCTAGAGTTAGTCTGTAACTCTAGCTCCGAGGTTCTGGTGCCTTCTTCTGGATCCCTCTGGCACAAAGTACGACATGTGATGTGTAGATTTACCTGCAGGCAAAACATTCATATAAATACAATAATAATTAGTTGGACGGTGGTGCATGCCTTTAATCCCAGCACTTGGAAAGCAGAAGCAGGCAGACCTCTGTGAGTTTGAGGACAACCTGGTCTACAAAGCGAGTTCCAGGACAGCCAAGGATACACAGAGAAACCCTGTCTTGAAAAACCATATAAATAAATAAACAAAGAAAAAAAGAGCAAAATGTTAATAAATCCAGGGCTGCAGAAATGGCTCAGTGCTTAAGAGCACTTGTTGCTCTTGCAGAAGACCTGGGTTGAACTCCCCACACCCACATGGTAGCTCACAATCATCCATAATTTCAGTTCCAGACCTAATGCCCTCTTCTCACCTCCACAGGTACCAGGCATGCATGTGGTTCACATAAATGAGTGCAAGCAAACACTCCTACACATAAAAATAAAATAAATAAATCTTAAATTTTTTACTTAGTTTTTTTTGAGGGGGTTCAAGACAGGATTTCTCTGTGTAGCCTTGGCTGTACTGGACTCACTTTGTAGACAAGGCTAGCCGCAAAGTCACAGGGACCTGCCTGCCTCTGTCTCTCTAAGTGCTGGGATTATAGAAATACACCACCATGTCCAGCACAATTTTCTTTTTAATAAAAAGAAATTTTAAAAGAACCTTTGCTATAGAAAGAGGCACCCACTATGTCACAAGCTTTAGACCTCCTTTAATACAGTTTCCCTGATCTAGGGACTGTTATTGTCTCCATTTTCTGGATGATTGAAATCTGATTTTGTTTGTTTGTTTGAGACAGGGTCTCTCTGTGTAGTCCTGTCTGTCCCAGAGCACCTAAACTTGCTATGTATACCACTTAGAATCAAACAGATCCTGCTGCCTCTGCTTCTCAAGTGTTGGGATTAAAAGCCTGCATCACCACACCCAGTTTAAGGAAAGCCGATTTTCTCTTCTTTTTCAAGACAGTTTCTCTGTGTAGCCTTGGCTGACCTAGAACTTGCTGTGTAGTTGCCCTTGAACTCACAGAGTTCCAGCCTGTCTCGGCCTCCCAAGTGCTGGGATCAAAGGCCTATGCCACCACCACCAGGCAAAGAAGCTGATTTTCTTTCTTTTCCTCCTCTTCCTCCCTATCATCCCTCCTCCTCTTTCCTCTTCTTTTTCTTCTTTTTTCAGAGACAGGGTTTATCTGTGTAGCCTTGGCTGGTCTGGACTTTGTTGACCAGTCTGGCCTTGAACTCACAGAGATCTGCCTGCCTCTGCTTCCCTGAATGCTGGGATTATAGGTGTGTGCCACTGTTCCTGGCTAAGAAACTGATTTTCAAAGAGTGATAATTTGCTTGCCCAATATTACACAACTGATATTCTTTCTATGATGATATTATATTTTTAGAGAAAAGACAGCTAAAGTACAATAATAAAAGTACCAAAATTAGGGCCAGCAAAATGGCTCAGCAAGAAAAGTTGCTTGCCACCAAGCCTGACAGCCTGAATTGAATCCTCAGGACCCATATGGTGGAAAAAAATTACTTGCCCCCACTCATATACACACACACATACAAAATACATATCTAGTCATGGCACTGTGATGAATGCCTCCTAGCTTTCTGGAGGCAGAGGCAGAATAATCATTGATTTTGAGGCCCATAGAGAGTTTGGGGGACAACCAGTGCTTTATAGAGAGACTCTGTCTTTAAAGACAAATAACAGAACAAACAAATCAATAAAATAAATAAGTAATAATGAAAACAAAACTCCAATACCCACTGAGAAGATCATGCCTGCAATGCTTGAGGAGACCAAGGAAGGCAGTTTAAACTACGTATTGAAATTGTTTCAAGGAAAGTGACACAGACAAGTGGCAAAAATGAAGTAGCAAGTGAAAATCCTGATAACAGTCCACAAGGTCTGAACCCTTAGCAGTAGTCCACTGGAGGAGGAAAACTGCAAAGGTCAGCCTCAAATATATAATGTGATTGGGTAGAGGAAAATACACCAAATGTGGTGATTTTTTATTTTAACTCTGAAGGCCTTCAAAACCAGAAAAAGCAGCTGAGTATAGTGGCACATGCTTGTAATCCCAGCACTTGAGACTGGATGTGACAGAGCAGGATTCTAGATCATCTTCAGCTACACAGTAAATCTGAGACTTTGTTTGAAAAGAAATGGAGCAATTTTAGGTTCACAGCAGGTAGAGGTAGTTCCTTCTAGGGCTGGAGAGATGGCTCAGGGGTTAAGAGCACTGGCTGTTCTTCCAGAGGTCCTGAGTTCAATTCCCAGCAACCACATGGTGGCTCACAACCATCTATAATGAGCTCTGGTGCCCTCTTCTGTAGTGTATGAAAATAGTGTTCACATACATAAAATAAATAAATCTTCAAAAAAATATTTATTTCTGCTATGAACCTGAAACTGCTCTTATTCACTCCCTCTGCCTTGCCTCATCTCACCCTACCTAGAATGGTACATTTTGTTACAATTGATGAATTTATTTTCTACATTGACTTATTATTATCACCCAAAAATACAGAGGGCTCAAAAATGCAGCCAGGTGTGGTGGTGCATGTCTTTAGTCCCAGCACTCAGGGGAGGCAGAGGTAGGCAGATCTCTGAATTGGAGGCCATCTTGTTCTACAGAGTGAGTTCCAGGACAGCCAGGCCTACACAGAGAAACTGAGTCTCAAAATAAATAAATAAAATAAAATAAACCAAAACAAAACCATGGAGGGGAAATGAACCTAGAGGCTTCCATTCATCCATTCACACCAGCACTGAATTAGAGTTCTTATTGCTTTCCATTAAAACCCCCTTCCCCCTGAAAATTCAGGTTTGGTGGTGTCTGCATTCTAAGAGGTGATATTTTAATCTTCTCTAAATTAGGCAGTCAGAGACTAAGCAAACTAGCCAGGCACAGCGGCGCAATCCTATAATCTCAGCACTTGGGGAAGCAGAGGCAGGAGGATCTCTGTGAGTTTGAGGATAGCCTGGTCCACCAGGCCAGCCAAGGCTACACAGAGAAACCCTGTCTCAAAAACAACAAACACACACACACATGCAAAAACAAAACAAAACAAAACAAAAAAAAACAGCAGCAACAACAAAAAAACTAAATAAAGTTGCATCCAATGTGGCTAATATAGATGAATGGAGCTTGATCTCAATCCTAAAGGCTATGGATAGCTTTTAAAATAGCCCCCTCTGCAGTAGGCTAAATGGTGGTCTCCAAAATGCACTCAGAATTTGTGATTTTCTTTGGCAAAGGGGTTTTAGAAGGTATGATTAAGTTAAGGATGGCAAGGCAAGCATGCTGGCACTTCCCTACAATCCCAGAACTTTAGGAGATAGAGACAGAAGGACTAGGAGTTCAAGAACAGCTTCATTGCAAACCAAGTTTGGGGACAAGATGAGTTACATGAGACCCCCTCTCACCACCAACTCTCCCCTCAAAAGAGAAAGCAACTAAATTGACCAAGATGGAAAAAGGATAGTTCAAGGGCACTTTACTGAAGAGATGCTTTTAAAGCAGAATCTGAAAAACGAGTGTAATTTTACCAGAGATTAAATGGAGTAGCAAATCAGGCAGAGGAAAAGAGCAGCTGGCTGGCTTCTACCTTTGTATAACTGTGTTTTGGAGAATCTCCACATCTATGATGTAGAACTCATTACAGTACATTGTATTATTTATATATTCCCCACTTATCTACAAGCTTCTAAAATGATGATGTCTTATTTGTCTTATGTTCTCAGAACATAAACACTGTACCTAGCACATATTAAAGACTCAATAAATGTTGGCTGGATAAACAATTTCAGTAAATGGCTTCTCCAATCAACCCTGTGCTCTGAGGGAAGGTAAATTTAGCCACAGAATGAGGAATGGACTGGAGAGCAGAGGCCCTTTAGAAAGGGGACCAGTTTGTGTGTTACGGGAATAATCATGACTAGAGGTAATGAAAGGCTGATTTAGCACAGTGGCTGAGGTAACAGAAAGGAGGAAACTGCTGGGAGAAATACCACAGAAACAGGGCTGATTGGATTCTCAGTATGAGAGAGAAGAAGGACATGAAGAGGACCCTGAGGTTTCAATTCTGGCTGGTGCTGATGTCATTAAGCAGGACAAGGAAGACAGAAAGAGAAGCAGACTTGCAGAGAGATAAGGGAGCCAGAAGTTAATACTGTTTTTCTTCCATTTTAGAAGCCAGCTCTCACCAGTGACAGGGACCAAGCTCAGGCAGCAGCTAGGGGTGGCTATTCTAGTTCAGATTAGGTCAGAGGAAAGACATCTATGTATGTGCCCACATGAATCAAGTCAGGTTTTTCCATCCTCTCAAGACCGTAGAACTTTGACAGAGGTTTAAGATAGCCTAGAGGGAAAAGGTGGTTGGAAATGATGGTTTGTGGTGGGGGTGGGTATTCAGCAGAGCTTTCCTGGACCTAGGTGGCCTGAAGATTCTTGACTGTGTGACACTGTTGTTGATCAAGGATTCATCATGACATAACATCACCTTAAAGCAGAACCCAACATCCCAGGGGACTTAGCCTATGTTAATAACCCACTTGCTAACCCCCTCCCTCTACAGCGTGGTTTCTAAGGTTCTTTCCACCGGAAGCTATGACAAAAGGAAATGTATGGGTGGGGAGGGGTTGTGGGAGAGTTGTTCAGGGTTCTGACACAGACTACACCCAGAGAAAGAAGAGCAAGTGCCATGTTGAAGCCATTATTGCCATCTAGAACCTTCTTACTCCTTCAGCTGCTTCTGCTGGGGGTAGGGTGGAGCTCCAGTGGGAATGAAGACACCAGCACTGGTAGGAAATCTAGGACCAGACGGGGTTGTTGAAAGGAAGGCTATGGGGAAACGGCTAAACAGAAGAAATCTGGAGCCTGTTAGTGGCCACTATAATGACTCTAAAAAGACGCGTGGGGTGGGGGAAGGGCTCTCTGTCTCACTACTGCTTCTTCTGACTAAGATTTTTTTTTCTTTCACTCCACTACTACATTTTCTTCCCATACTTAGATTTTTTTTTCTGACTTCTACAGGTCCTATTCCGCCCCTCCCGCACGTTCAATGCTTTGTGTTCAATGTTGAGTATATAAGTTGTACTTGGAATAGCAGTTCTATGTCCCAGCCAACCAATTTGACTCTGCACTATAGGTAAGAGAGGCAGGAGGGGTTAGCACAAGAAGGTTGAGAAATTGGGCTAGCTGAGAGACTGTGTGGGGGCCAAAAATGAGGGTAGCCAGTTTCTCAGGCATCCTACTAGTTTCTCATGGGGTAAGTTGTCAGCTCAGACCAGACAAGGCTGGGCTATGGGTATATGCAGTACCCACATTTGCCCCATTATTCTTCCTTGTAACCCTTCTCTAGGTACCAGAAATTTAATGATAAATTCCGGGAATGCAGCCACTATCTGTTCTCAGAAGAGATTACTTCTGGCTGTCAGATACAAGAAAAGAACATCGATCTCTACCACACATTTGTTGTCCAGCTCCAGGACCCCCAGAAACCCCAGAGGAAGGAACAGAGGCTAAACCTGCAGAATCTTGGTAATCTAGAAAGAAGTGGCCAAGAGGCCAGGGAGCTTAAGGACACCGGAGTTTATAGATTGTTCTTTCCTCATTGTTGGCCTTGGACAGAAAGGAGAAGATAGGGGTTTGGGATGGGGAAGGGGGGAGGAATAAGGGGAATTACCTCCAAGATCCTGACTTGTCTAGGCTAGGGCAATGACCACAAGCACACATATCTCCAGTGATCCCATGGGCTCCGGAGAATCTAACACTTTACAACCTGAGTGAATCCCAGCTAGAGCTGAGCTGGAAAAGCAGCATCAAAGAACGCTGTTTACAATACTTGGTGCAGTACCGGAGCGACCGAGATCGAAACTGGATGGTGAGTGACTTGGCATTGTGGATGCAGTAGCTAAGGCCATGCAAGAGGAGAAAGGATTCAACTACTCAGATATAAGAACCTAATACTGAGTCCTAGTTCTCTGCCTCCCAGCTCTCTGTCTATATTTTCATTTCCTTTTCTATCATCACCAGTGAGCTTTTACTCTGGCTTTTCCCAGATGTGATCAGGAAGATCATCTTCTTCCTGATGCCAGACATAAAGGAAGCCAGCGAGTAGATCTGGAGGGGAGAGCTACTTCTGAGTCAAGTTAGACAAGGGAGCAGTGTGTTGTGATTAGTCAGGAGAGGAGCAAAGTAGAACTGGGAGAGGGACCAGAACCAGTTTCTTGGTGTCTGTTTGTTTTTCCATAACTGGGAAGAACAAGAATTTAGAAGACTCAGAAGATGACATTGAGGTATAGGCAAGGATGTTCGCATTCTCTCTTCCTTTACAAATAACTCTCTTTCCCTCACCCTTCTTCTCCACAGGAACAAAGAGTGGATCATGAACCCAGATTCTCCCTTCCTAGTGTGGATGGGCAGAAACTGTACACATTCCGAGTTCGGAGCCGCTTTAACCCCATCTGTGGAAGTACTCAACACTGGAGTAAATGGAGCCAACCAGTCTACTGGGGAAGCCACACTACAAAGGGTAAAGTCACCCAGATACATGACCTCTAAATCATTAACGTAGTACCCCAACCTTTGTAACACACTACTACTATTGTTTGCTTTATCTCTATGCCTAAGCCTCTACTTCCCCTCACTTTTTCAACTCGATCACTATGAAGCAGGGTTTTCTATGCAGGGATGAGAAGGAGGTGCGGCCAAAATAGGAGAGTGAAGGCCAAAGGGTGCTTCAGGAGAATATGGAATGTGTGATGGGATCAGTAAACAGGCATCTCTACGGCCAAGGGACCAGACAAACCGGTTATCAGGCATTTGTGAAGCCACCAAGAAGACCACCCGCTGGTCACCTGGAACCACCTGCGAATTCCCTGGGTCACCTTATCAGAGAACTCCTGGAGCCCCTCCTCCCTCTCTCTTTTTCTCTTTCGCCTCGTCTCCCCTTTCCCTTCCTCTAATAAACCTCCCACGTGCAACTGGTCTCGTGGTGTGATTTGTGAACCCGCCGTGTAACTTTCACAGCCGCACATTTCCTAACCATGTGTGGGAGGTCTCTACGGGATTCCATAGAGTCGGCATAGTGAGGATGACCTTGGATCTAGGCTGGCCTCTTTAATTTGGTTTATTCATCTGTAAAATGTAGATAAACATTGTTCCTCCCTCTTAGGAGCTGTGTGGAAGGAAAGTCAGCATAAGGATTGTGTTTGGCATGGTGCCTGGCATCCATGTCTTTTGAGTGCCACACATGCAGGGCTCGTTTTCCTTTCTTTTTTCTACAGAGAATCCCTCCGTGTTTGTGCTGGAAGCTGTGTTCATACCTGTTGGCTCCATGGGATTGATTATTACCCTGATCTTTGTGTATTGTTGGCTGGAACGGTGAGATGTCAGGACGCCCTTAAAATAAGGTGGGGTGAGGGGTTACTTCAGGATCTCCAGGGTAGATCATCCAAGAGCTATGATGGGGTGCTAAGAGGAAGCTATAGGTTCCACGCTGGCCAGTTGGATAAAGGGTAGTAAAGAAGCTTTCATTTAATGCTTCTGCTCCCTCTTTTTCTCCACTCAGGGCAATGCCTCGAATTCCCACCATCAAGAATCTAGAGGATCTGGTTACTGAGTACCACGGAAACTTTTCGGTGAGAATACTGCCATATGCATATTGCAGGTTATCAACTGCCAACTGCCAGCCAGCAAGACAGAATGTGAGGGGGGCAAGGTAGAGGGAGGAGGGGCCTGTACCATCAGGATGTGGCTGACCAAATGGAGGGTGGGCTAGGCAGAGGGAAGGAGCAAAAGACAAATGGAAATTGTGGTCTTAGGAGCCCTGGAGCCTGGATGATAGCCCTTCTGGAATCACAATGGTTGCAGGGCTGTGAGAGCTCCCTTGGCCCAGAGCCTGGGTCTTTTGCTTCCTGCCCTTAATTGACCTCTGACCTGGAGATATCTGTCTTTAGGCCTGGAGTGGTGTGTCTAAAGGGCTGACTGAGAGTCTGCAGCCAGACTACAGTGAACGGTTCTGCCATGTCAGTGAGATTCTCCCCAAAGGAGGGGCCCTAGGAGAGGGGCCTGGAGGTTCTCCTTGCAGCCTGCATAGCCCGTACTGGCCTCCTCCATGTTATTCTCTGAAGCCTGAAGCCTGAAGCCTGAAGCCTGAGCCTCAATCCTTTGATGGAACATCAGAGTCCTATAGCTCTAAATGATTCTAACTTCCCCCTACACATCTCACCCATCTGGATCCAGTGCCCATTGGCTCCCCCTGTGGCTAATTTTCAATTTCATGTCCCATGTAACTGCTCCTCCATTCCATATGCTTTAGTTGAGAATGCCCCTTTTCCTTCTTCCTTGTACAAGCCCTCCCCTGCTCAGTCTAGCACCTCCCACTTTATTTTGGAGACGGTCTCACCCTATAGCGCAGGGTGGCTGAAAACTCACTGTGTAGACCAGGTTGGCCTATAATTCACAGGTAATCCTTCCACCTCAGCCTCCCAAGTGTTGGGGTTATTGGCATGTACTACTATGCCTAGCATGGCCCTTCTCTTTTACAGGATCCTTCCTCTCCTTTTCTACCTACCATTCAATTGTTCCTGAATCAATGAAAAATAAAGTTTCTACCAATGATCATCAAAAATGTCTGTTGTGGGATTGGGGAGCAACCGAAAGTTAGAGTGCAGTGAGGTTGGGAGGAATTTTATAATATAGTCGTAATGTAGAAGCAAAGGTACCACAAATTAGCTAAAAGAAGTACTGTTCTGTCTACTTACTTTTCTATGGTAAATCTCTGTGCTCGGGCTCGTTCTACGGGCCAGTTTAGAATTATATTTGCCATGTTGTTCCAACTCCTAGAAGCTCTTTCAGAGTTCCGACCCAGTGTCTTCTCTCATTGGCTTTACTCTACCTTCTATTGTATGTATCACTTCTGACCTCACAATCCTTTAACTGCAGCCCCTGGCCCCTCCCCCACAGATGTTGACCATCCCCAGATGCCAAAGACTCTCCTGTCTGCTCTGTCTGGACCACCTTCAACTTATTAGCTACATCTGTCCCTTCAGTCCTCCAACCCCATTGGCCCCCTCAGATCCCTGGGGCCACTAGAACACCTTTTTTCTGCATCATTCACCAGGGACTGAAGAGTGCGATGATCTTGGTAGCATGTTTATCTTCGTCCAACATGGAGGTGATGGGCAGCACAGAGCAACACTGTGGGGATGGACATGGGCAGGGTTGAGGATAGCTCAGCTCACTGATGGGATGGAACTAGAGAAGGGCCTGCATACCTCTATCCCATCTCTTCTCAGATAATGAACAGTTTCTGCTCAATACCAATTGCTCTATCCTTCTCTTGCTCCATTACACCAAAAAGAAAATGGGATTACGTAAAACAGGTAAGTGGCTTGGGGAGGAGTAGTGATTGAATTTCAAAAGCAGCAAGCTGCTTCTTGTCTCTAAGCTTTCCTCCCAACAAGAAGGGTTATCCTCATATCCCTAAACATTCTTCAAACCCATTCTGTAGAGGACCACTGGCCCTTTTTATTCATAATTCTCTGTTCTTACCTATCTCAATTACCCTGTGGCCTTCCTCTAGACATCATTGATTTTTGTGATGAAACGGGGACCATGAAGTTACTCTTCCTGTCGAAGACACCTGGAGACTATGCCAGCAAATTCCTTACACCTAGAAATACCTACTACATTTGTAAAGTGGAGCGTGGGGCACCAGGTAGAAGTTTGGAGGTGTTCTCTATAGATCAAGTCCCTCAAGGTGGATTATGAAACTTGTCCTTAAAAAAAAAAAAGCAAGGCAGCTTTTTTAGCACTCAAGGAACTAAGGCAGGAGGACTGAGAGTTCAAGGGCAGCCTTAGTTTCATAGCAAGACTTCATCCCAAACACAAATACCAGAAAAACAACAACAAACAATATAAAGCAGGGCTGGCATGTAGCTCAGTTGGCAGAGGGCTTGCCTAGCATGCATGAAGTTCTGGGTCTCATCCCTAACATGGCATAAAGTTGGGTATGGTGGAGCATGCCTATCATCCTAGTGGAAGCAGGGGGATCAGAAGTGCGAGGTCATCTTTATACGGAAACTTTGAGGACAGCCTGGGTTGCATAAGACCTTGTCTCAAAGTAAATAAATACAATCTTTAGAAATGGAGGTAAGGAGGCTTGAAAGTTGGAGCCATCTTGGGCTACATAGTAAGACACTGTCTCAAAAGAAAACACTACAGTGTGGAGCCAGGAGTGTTAGGAGTTCACATGGAACTTAAGCTATATGGAGATCCTACCTCAAGACTCCAAAAACAAAATAGTAAGTAGGACATCCTCAGCCAGATCCAAATTGACTATATTTAATCAGCTCAAAGAAAGGGCACTACAGCCTGGCCGCGGTGACATACACCTTGTGGTCAGTCTGGTCTACAAAGTAAGTCCAGGACAGCCAGGCCTCTGTTACACAGAAAAACCCTATCTTGAAAAAACCGAAAGGGGGAAAAAAAAAAGGAAAGGAAAAGGGCGCTATTTTGATGACAGTAGTTAGGTACATATATACTATGCCATCCTATTTCATCCTAGGGTGTATGGAGTTCTATGCCAAGGCAAGGGAAAAAGTATACCAGTTCAAGGTGTTTAGTGTTAGAATCCTGAAATCTTGGCCTTCAAAAGGGCAGGGACTTTGTATGTATCAGGGGCTGGAGAGAGAGTAATGCTATGTTTACAGGTAACAAGATTGAGAATCCCTACAAAGCTATTGTGCCCCTCCTGAAGAATCCAGAACCTCAAATAGTTGGTAAGGCATCTGGTGGGGGAGGTAGGACCTATGAAGAGGTGTACATAGCTATGTGCTGGGATTTTTAATTAAAGGCAGCCAGGGCTGAATGTGGAAGACTGACAGAGAAGGGGGCAGTATGAATGTTGGGATGGGGCCAGCATAGCGTGGTAGGTGGGATCATAGGAGCTTATGAAAAGGGGGACAAGGATCTCGGTAAACTTTAGAGGGTCTGTCTAGTTTAAACCATGTGAACCATACATGCCACTCTCCTCACTTCCTTGCCATCTTCTCTATCACCCTGGCATGGCATCCTCTCATCTAATCTGACTGGTCCACTGAATGACAGAGAATGGGTTCCATCTCTGTTCCTCTGAGGGACTGGTGCTTTTTCTTGTTTTCTAGACGCCCTTCGCACACAATGTGAGTTCTTAGAAAGAAGTCGAATAAAGATGCTTAAAGCTCTAGAAGCTAAAAGATTGGCAGCCATGGAATCCGTTGTAAATATCCCAACAAAATCTCCCAAGAGTGGTGTACAGCAGACACCCAGCCCAAGCGGGCAAATGAAGGTTCGTGCATTGCTCGAATTTAGAATTTCCTTTCTCAATCTGATGTCTATGTTCACCACCTGACTCCAATCTCTTTTCTTTCCTTTGGCCCTAGACAGTAGAAACCTTTCCCTGCAGAGCCTCTACATTAATATATTTTTTTCTTTTCTAGTCTAAATCTGCGCGGTCAGATGACGATGGGCCACCTTCCAGCCGCAAACCAGTCTATAAGACTAGAGCAGACTTTGTCAAGAGACACCGTTAACTCAATAAAGTGACCAAGTGAGAGCAGCAACTACCCGGGGGAAAACCTGAAATTACTGGATTTTAACAGGAGGTTTCTTTTTCTAGAAAGACTCCTCCTAGTATCTGCACAAAGGCTTCCGTAGGCTGCAGACACCAGGAAGGCTGAGGGTGGATGGGAGGAACAACAGAGAGGGCTGGAGCGAGCACTTGGGTGGGTGGGGGTGGGGGTTGAGGAAAGACTGTGAAGTCTGGCTACTAGACTTTCAGTACAATGAGCCTTTGAGGTCCAGAGAAGGGGGTGGGGTCTTCTCAAACCAGAGTAACCTACCTCCCCTCGGAGGAGGAGGAGGCCTATCTTACAGCCGCCTACTCCTGCTGGGTTGAGGTGTCCCTCCCCCACCACTCCATTACCTCCCAGGCTGAAATTTCCCCACCTCCCAGCCTGCGGGCAGTCCCTCCCACCCGCCCTTCAACTAACTGCCCTTCACCTTTCTGCCTGCCTCCATCCCCCATGTTGGAGGAGGGCAGCAAGACAGCAGAAACCAGAAACCATATCTGATTATAGACATTTATTGAACTCATTTATTGATTTGACACACTTCCCCACTCCAATCTAGCACATGATACAATCTGGGCAGGCCAGGCGCTGACACAGGAAATGATGGGAACCCACAGCAGGGGTGGGGGAGGGGACAATGCAAAGGACCCTGGGGGAGGGGCTGCTTAGGGGCTTGGGTGGAGGAGCCCCAGATGGCCTCTCTGGCAGGTGCTAGTAAACCTGATCCACATTCCCCCATCCCTGCTCATTTCCCAGACCCTCAGCCAAACTCCCCATGCTCCCCCTTCCCTGTTCCTCTCCACAGCCCTGCCAGCCACTACAGTCTTCCACATAACCCTGGCAGTCTAGGACTAGGAAGAAGGGCAGGGACAGCTGTCCCAAGTCTTGAACAGGGAGGTCTCTGTACCTAACTTTACTACCCTAAATCCTTCTTCTTTCACGCCCCTCCCAGGCCCCAAGGCAATTCCAGGCCTTGGATGCTCTCTCTGGTAGCACTAACCCGTGCTGGTCAAACAAAGAGTGTGCTTGCCCCCCAACAGCACCCTCTTCTAGGCACAAGTGAACAGAATGCGGGAATCTGGCTTAGGCTTCTTTCTTTAAACTCTAACCTAAGTATGCATAGAGCTTTTTCTAGACCTGGTCCAAAAGGGGAGCACTTTCGTCCAGTCACTCTTGCTACCCAGCTTCCTGCGTCTCTTCCATAAAGTCTGTAGTGTTTGTACCATGTCACTATGACAAAGCCTTCAGAAAGAAAAAAAGCATACTCCCCATCACTAGCACCTCACCACTGTTAAAAATCTCTATATTTGTGTTTCTATTTCTTTAAAAGTTTATAAAAAGCCTGTCTGTTATCTGCATCCTTCCAAAAGTGATTTGGCCTGGTGAGCCACTCCAGTGCTCAAAACTTGGCCCTTCTAGATCCCCTACCCAACTCCCACCCCACTGCATAAAAATCCAGGCTCAATTTAGCCTGGCCCAGCTCTAGTAAGACTCTACAAAAGAAAAAAAAAAAGAGTAATCCTGCTCCCAAAGGCAGGGTAATAAGGCCACTGGTGACTTCACATTTCCAACAGCATTGCTGGCCCCTGCTACAAGGCCTAGGAGGTGGGAATGGGGAGATCAATGATGGCTCTCAAGAAAGGGCCATAATTATCCCCTAATTGGCACAGTGAGAATAAGCCCTCTTCCCTTCTTCCTCCTATCACTCTCCTCCACAATCCCCATATGCCAAAGCATTATCTTTATAATTTCTCAACACTCTATTGTGTGACCACCTAACCCTAGCTCTAAAGCAGGGCCCCAAACTCCTGGAGAGGGCTCAAGGGGGAAAAATGGATGAAGGCAGGCCTGGCTCCACCTCTACCGCTGAAGCAGGGGACAAAGCTTCCGGCTGTGACTCAGGGATCTGTGGGAAAAAGAAATAAAGGACAAAATAAAAGATTCATTTGGGACACCATTCAGATTCATACCAGAGGTAGGTATTCCCTCACCTCCACACAGCCCTCCCTTCCGTGATGAGGAGCCCGGAGGTCCGATCTAGAAGTTATACTATTCTAATATGACATCCTTTCTCCAACTCCCCAGGAACTTCTATTATCTGCTACAAGGTTCTCTCTGGCTCATATCTTAGAATTAGCAGAGCATTCAAGAGCAAAGATGCTGTAGTGATTAAGAGGTGTTATACCTGACTCAAAGTTGAAGTCCAGTCCCTCACCACCATCCATGAGGTCACTGATGATGTGATCCATGTCGCACTCCAGGTCCTCTAGATACATATCAAGATCTAGATCCTGAGGCATTCTGTCATGGCTGGTAGCTTCAGTAGGAGACACGAGCACAGGGTTTCCCAGGACTTTAGGGATGGGAGCACCTGCCATGATTGGCGGTGGTGCCATCACAGAAAGGCTGGGAACCAGGTTGTTGTGACCTGGACCTTCTAGTGGCTTAGGACATAGGCTAACTCCTGTAGCCAGCTTGCTAGAGGAAGGCATTCCTCCCAATAACAGAAGTGTAGGAGCCTGAGACAGAATTGGATCTACTTGGGTCATGAGAACATCAGCAGGAGGTGGTGGTGTATCAGAGTTGAGCAGGGCCTCTAGAGACTGGGAGCTTGAGAAGCACCCTTCTCCTGCTGACAGAGACCCATCTATTGGGCCAAAAAGGGAGGCACCGTAGCCATGTAAGGGGCCAGAAAGCCCAGGATGCTGCAAAGAGAAGCCAGAGAGACTGCTCCTAGACAGCAGGGAATGGGGGGATGCAAGATTGAGCCCATCTAGCAGCTCTAGATCTTCACTGAGGGTGGGAGGGACCCCCGCTGCATAGCTGCTGGCTGAGGCTGGCATTTCCTCTTCTGATAGCACCTCAGACTCTGGCCCCATGGGCAACAGCCGAGTGCTGATAGTGCTAGCATTTGAACTGCTTCCTGGACGGAAGGTGGTCCACACATCAGCTTCTTCCCGATTTCGAGGACAAGTGCTGCTTGACCACTTGGCAAAGTGGCCCAGAGGGCTCCTTGGAGTGGCACCTTCAGGTGGAGCTGGCAGGACAGATGGCTTCTTCTTGGGGCCTCTATTGCGGCCCCGGAGCACCTTGCTGCTGCTATCCATGGAGGCAGCCCTACGGCGGGGTGCCTTGCCACCCTTGCCGCCCTCTGGGTTCAGCATCCACCAAGAGCTCTTGCCAGTGGCCTCATTGTGAACTTTGATGAACTTGCTGTGCAAGGACAGGTTGTGACGGATGGAGTTCTGGATGGGACAGAGGTAGGAGAAAAGGGGCATGAGATATGTTTAGGGGAGGTTGGTAGCCAGCTGTTTAATCTAAGGGAGGGCTGGAACACAGCAGAAGCTCAAAAGTCAAATCCAGGGAGGAAAACTAGAGTGTGGCGGGAGAGAAGAGACTATACCAAGTTGCCAGGCCCAGTGAGACCTCCACATTTCTCAGTACAGGAAGACAAAGTAACAACCTACTTTCCAAAGAGAGCCAATATCCACCCTAGAAAAGTTCCTCTCAAACCTCTGGGTGCAGTGTTGGGTTGGTGGGCACCGGGGAGTACTGTTGATGTAGAAAAACTAGGCTCAGATAGGAAAAGGCCTTCCATAGTTCCATTCCTTTCCTGATGTACAAGGTCGGGTACAGGATGGTGGCCATACCAGTCCAGGAATGACCAGTCATGGGCCAGTTCTCTCAATCTGCTAGAGGGCTGGAAGTTCAGCACAGCTGGTGCTCCATTCCTCATTGGGCCTTTAGGTCAACCAGATAACTCTCTTGGATTAGATCTGAGGCTGGGCCTTTAATTCTAGCATTCAGAGAGGCAGAGGCAGGTGGATTTTTGTGAGTTTGAAGACAGCCTGGTCTACAAAGTGAATTCCAGGAAAGCAAGAGCTATAGAGACTGACCCTGTCTCAAAACATCAAAAGGTGCAGCAGTCTTTTTATTGCCAGTTGGGACACACTCCACACTTTCATGAGGTATAATTTCTCTGTCCCTTTTTCCTAGGGAGGTTTCCTTCTCTAAATTCTACTGGATGCCAAGCTTAAATCCTGTGTCTCTTAATAAAGCATCTGCTTATCTTCTATAGCTAAATTTCTTATGTAGTGTTTTTATCTGTTTCCCACAATTTTAATCAATATGGCACGGTTTATGGTTTCATGTAATTAGCCTTGTCAATTGTAACTACCAAAGGTACATAACTGGTGACATTCAGATAAATATATCCCTTTTCCTCTAGTAGCCTTGGGGGCAAGATGGAGGGTACGGCTTCTTGAGCCCCTACAGCAGCTTGTTTTTACTGGCTGGTATATGCTGTCTGTGGAACCTCCATCAATTTCCTCCCTCTTTCCCTGTTTTAACCCCTTGGAAGTCTTCTAAGAATTTGAGCATATTCTCTGTACCCTAAAGGTCGTATGACCTCCCAGAGGGAGCTCTTTAGTTTAAAAATACATCCAAGAGGAAGCTGAAGCATGCTAGGAGCCACTAAGAAACTGAGGCTCTAGACAGTGAGAAATCATTTTCCACTGACTGGTAAACAAATAAACAGACAAAAAATAAAAACGTTTTCGTCTTAGTCCCAGTACTCATGGAGGTAGAGGCAGCCAGATCTTTGTAAGTTCGAGGCCAGCCTGGTCTACAAGGTCACTCCAGGACAGCCAAGTCTACACAGAAAAACTCTATCTCGAAAAATAAAAATAAAAAAAAAAAAGAAAAAAAAAGAAAAGAAAAAGCAACCCTTTTCTCGAAGAGCTTGGCTTGAGCAGCCTCTTGAGTCAGGGTCCTTTAGAGAAAGGCTTCTTTGCCTCACTGGGCCCATCTATCCACCTTCCAGCTCTCAGTAACTGAGCAATATTTCATCTTTTGGGTCTGTGATTTCCTCCTTTCTTTTCTCCAATGCTGGGTCTACTGAAGTGTGTGTGCACATGCTTGTGTGCGAGTGCACAAGCGTTTATGTCTCTGTGGTGTGGGTC